TTCAGCATGTTAACGCTACAAGAAGGTAGAATTATATTTTTCCAGGGCTAAAGAGGTTGCTATTTAAAGGAAGTGAGGGCATATCTCACAAAGCTGTGTTTTCAAATTCAGAAATAAGCAGAACACAACAAATAGCATTGATAGTTGTAAGTAATCTTAGGTCTACAAAGCTAAGAAGATTTAAGAATCTGAAAATGAACAATCACAGAAAAAATTTACTGAACTGTCCCTTTCACATTTGAAAAGTAAGATACATTTTCAGTGGTTATCCAGGTGTAGCTGATTATCAGAATATAGACTATTAGCTGCTGCAGTACCAGACTATAAAATCTAGTATTTTAATAGCTTCAGAGCAAGAGGCAGCCACTACTACAAAGAGATAGTTGAAGCTGCACAAGCAACTAGAATGCTTTGGAATATTGTGGTTGAAATACTTGAGACATGTTATGTTATCAGCTAGTTTATCTTTTGAAATGTGTTTGCTGATTCACTCTAGAATAAGAATGTGATTAACTCTGGAGATCTGGTGTTCCTTGCTGTAGACAAACTTTTTTTTTTTTTTAAATCTGCCTGTGCTAGTAGGAAAGCATATACCCACATTCTGGTCTGGTGCCTAAACTATTTTATTAATACCAACAAGATTAATCAACAGAAGCTAGTTAAAGCACTTCATCACAGTGGTGTGCATGGGGGAATGTTTATGCAAACCTCTTAGCTGGCAGAATTTAGGGGATTATTCTGGCAGGAGGTACCACCAGGAAATGAGAAGCTGAAGGACAAAACAATGGCAGCATCCTCCTCCAAGGGGAAGACCAGTTGTTGAATATGAGTCTTTCCTCACCTTCAACTGATGTAACATTTAGGGAAGGTATGTAAACCTTGTCTTTAATTTAACTTTAGAGAATATATTCACCGTTTTGGTAGTCAAGAGTATTATACAACCAAAGTTAACATAAGGTGAGTCTACCTGTGGTTCAAAATCTTATTATCCTGGGAATAATATTTGAGAAGCAAAGATTAATTACGTATATATTCTTCTTGAAATCAATTACATTTGAATGCAAAAAAAATCACATAAATTAATCATTGGCATTGCTTAATCAAGTCTCTTAAGTAAGGCAGATTTGTTTGAATCAAACTGATTTAAATCCTTCATTTTATTCATTATTTAAATCAGCAAGTAAGAATTACTGATTTAGATAATTGATGCTAATCTTGTTTTACATTTTTATTTTACTTCAGAAAGAAAGGGTCATTTTAATCAGCTGAAATAATCTTTAACATAAATAGATTTGCAAGCAGAACAGAGATTTTTAGATTTTTAAATGTAGTAGAAAATGTTTTATAATGCATTACTGTTTTGTTGGTTTTTTTCTGAAGTGGGATAGAAATTAGAATGCAGCTCAAAACATACAGCAAAAAGTTACATCTTTTTCCTGAGTTAAATGAAAATACCTTGAAATATGATCAACACACATATACAGTAAAATGTATCAAATATGTTTGAATGTTTTATAACAGATTTATTGCAGAAGACAATTTTAGCTATGTTTGATGTGCTACGTTTACCTGTTAGCTATGTTCAGTTTCTGAAAGCAGCTGGCTAAAATTTATAAAGTATACCTATATTTAATCATATATATGGTGTCTGATGGGATTTTTAAAGTCACATAAATGCTTTTTTTGTTTGTTAATGTATTTCTGAAAATGTAATTTGTATATAAGTCTGTGTTTTAAGTACTAAAAATAGCTTTGTGAGAGCCTATTGTTTGTCTTTTAAACAAGATTTCCTATTTTCCCCCCATTGGCTTGTACTGGCACACTGGAAAAGAAAGATAACGTTTTCAAACCCAAAGGCAGCTTACCAAATTCAAACAAAAAAAATTCCCTTTGTGTTCACTATTGAAATTGAGGTCAAAAGTAATGAAAGCAAAAAATGTCTTCTCTGTGTACTTACCTTAAAATAGATGAAATAATACTTTAATATCTGCAAATAGAGTGTTTAATGTATTCAGCACTTGCCCATCACATTGACCTAAAATTAAATATTTTCCCTTGACTTCACGTACCGTTAACTCATTAAAATAATGAAAATTGAGAAAGGTTCATGAACATTACATTTATTTTCTAATTTATGCAAATGACACCAGCAATTGATAGAAGGCTTTTATTTTAACACAGATACTCATAAACATATGTAATTTACGTGCATTTCTTCTAAGAACAGAAATCTGAAAAATCATATTGAATAGGAGCAAACCTAAGTGAAAATCCATTTTTCTTTGAAAATAGTATTTTTTATCTATTTACCTCAGAAATCAAGTAATTTTACTATATTACAAATATTCACCTATTTGTTATTAATTCAGCTTCCCAGAGTTATATGGCATAGCTCACTTGTAAACAAATTGCTCTGTGCTTGGATTAATCAGTATAATTTTTGTCCCACGTTACACCATTCCACAATAATCACTGATTCTCCCATGTCTCCAGTTTCTCCCTCTAAAAATACCCTAGCCTCTCTTGCATGTTCCACAGTAGTATGTCCACTTTTCTCCATTTTCCCTCTCTATGTTGTCTAACCTGTCCCCTGTACATGCGATATCTTAACTCACAGGATGAATTCTTGCTGAGTTCATGCCTTACTTCCCTCTGCAGGAGCATGGTTATCCTCCACTCAGCCATCCATCTCCATCGCATTAAACCCCTCATGTACACACACGTTACATCCTCTGCTCCTCATATGTGGATTCCAAAACAGTAACATGTTGGAAGGCAGGGATGAAGAGAGAGTGGTCTGCATATAATTACATTAACCTTATTGTGTTAGAAATAGACCTGAAGATTGATTATACACAATAAACTTGACAGCTCAAGAAGCTTGGCTGAGTTTCTGTTGTGTTTAGTAGTGACTAAGATAACTTTCTTTATATGATTTTTGTTGTTTTTAAGGTTTCTGATTTTTAGTGCTTGATTTAGCAATTTAGATTATTTAGTTTTGTTTTGCATTTGATGTTGAAAATGAAACCAACAGCGATGACAATGTCTAGCCCTCAATCAAAATTCTTTTTAAGATGCATTGGGTTTTTTGGTTATTGTTTTGCACGAGTAAAGAACAAATAGCAGGTATGTGTAAGTCATTGCCCAGAATGTTGTGAACAATCTTGGACAGTTCACTGATTGTTGCTTCATGTTGGAGACTGTTATATAAAAGACAATAAATAAGCTAATTCTGTTGTCCTTTTCTAACCACTGTTCATGTGTATAATGTTGGTTATTTAACACTGCGGTAGACCATAAACTGAAATGTCAGAATGTTGCTTGCTAGTTGACCTCTTCTACTACAGGATGATTCTGTACATAATACAGAACAAGTTTGTTTCTCATGAAAAATGCTTACTGCATAATAACAGAATCAAGGATCAGTGACTTTATGGTTGCTCAGAAAGACCAAGGAAAGCGTAATACCAGATGGCAAAACCAACTAAAATAAAATTCTGCCCAATGATCCTTTTCTTTCTTTATAACAGGACAACAGACCTTGTGTATAGAAAAGTCGCAGTAGTTGTCAGGTTATATTGATGTAACTTTTGTGAAAGCTCACTCATCCTTTTTTCTAATCAAGACAATTTAATTCAGATTATATATTTTTGTAAGTATCTGAATAATCAGAGAAAAAAATATAATCAGCTCAACTTATAATCACAGGCAATCTGATTCAGACTGGCCCTTCTTTGGGTGGGACTTGGACCCAATGAAATACAGAGGTCCCTTCCAATTAAAATAATTCTGTGGTTCTGTGATCTTAGATTCTGAAGCAGTATGCAAGGATTTTGGAAGTTGGGGCTATAATAAAAAATATTAATATATAAATTAAATATGTTCTTATATCAATTCAGTAGGAAGTACAAATGTCATATACCCTGTCTTATGTTGGAGGAACTGACTGAACAATAGCCTGAAACCTTGTTGCCTGTTGCTTTGGTGGTTCACAGATTAGTAAATATGTTGGTGTTGCAAAGTATAGTGTGAAAACGTTGTTCTATTGTCAACTCAATTATTGGAACATTCTGGCTGTCGTAGTGCTTTGTATCAACAGGATGTGAAAAGTATTTTTAGATTGTGTATCAGCATGCAGCTTCATTCTTAGGATCAAAGATTCAGATGAAGATGTTAAGAAATGTGACAAAGGAAAGCAGCTGTTTGTGAAAAGTGCTGTGAAAGCTACTTAAATTATAAAAGAAACTAATGAACTTTCATGTGACTCCATAAAATTTAGAGCAGTGCATTTTGTGTATATACAGTCAAATGACTGTGCAGTCAGAACTTACACATTAACATTAGAGAAGCTAGTCATACAGTTTTAATTTTAAATGTTATAATTATTTAACCATATTGTTCATGTTCAGTGAAAATTCACTGGTGTATGGAAAAGCAAAAAGAGTAATTTACATGGTAAGAATATGGGGCTTAGATAGTTGGGAGGTATAAACCTAAAGCCTTTTATGACACCCATTTCTAGTAAATTAAAATAAGGAAGATTCAGATAATTATCTGAATAACAACAAGCCCTGGTTTAAGTTGGTGTTCCCAAGAAAGCTGAAGAATTATATTAAGTGAATTAAAATATGTGGGATGTACTATCTATAGATATTTTATCTTTCTCTCCTTCCTGGCTTTTGTAAAAGTTTTAACTGAATAGATACGCTCAGAGCAATGTTTACCTTTCTCCTATGTCAGTAGGAAGAAAAAACTCTTCCTATTAATCAGATAAATGGGCTTTAGACATTTTAGTTGGTGCACTTCACATTACAATTGCAAGGACGCTAAAAATTAAATACTATATACTGCTTAATAACTGAAATATTTGAAGCTGAGATATATAGCAATACATGGCTGCACATATTAGCTCACTTTGCTTATAATGGCTTTCCCCATTTGTACATTATGTATACAATAGCTCTGACTTTCTTTCTTTGATTTTGTGCTTTTTCTTCCAGATTTGGATTTGTTCTTCATAAGGATGAGCCTGTCCTCCAGAAAATTGATCTAGAAACTATGTCATACATCAAGACAATTAGTTTAAAGGATTATAACTGCATTCCTGAGTCACTGGCTTTTACACATCTTGGTGGATACTTTTTTATCTGCTGTAAGCCTGATACCACCGGGGCTGTCCTACCACAGCTTATAGTGGATAGCGTTACTGATTCTGTGATTGGATACAATGGCGACGTAACAGGCACACCACACGTCTCTCCAGATGGACACTACCTTGTCAGCATTGATGATTCAAAAGGTCTTATGAGGATCCAGTCCATAACAATGAGAGGAGAAATACAGGGTGCATTTGACGTTCACACTAATTTGCACATATCTGATGTAGCTTTTCAGCCATCATTCACTGAAGCCCATCAATACAATGTCTACTGCAGCTCCAGCACACAGACTGATGTTCTCTTTGTGGAGCTTTCCTCTGGCAAGGTTAAGATGGTGAAGAGTCTGAAGGAGCCTGTCAAGGCAGGCGAATGGCCTTGGAACAGTAAGAATCGTCTTATAAAGGACAGTGGCCTTTTTGGTCAGTATCTCATGACCCCTTCCAAGGAATCTCTGTTTATCCTGGATGGACGGCTCAATAAGTTAAATTGTGAAATCACTGAAGTTCTGAGAGGCAACACAGTAATTTGGGTTGGAGAAGCATAAAGATCTTTGTTAGATATTTACAGAATTAATAATTTTACAGTACATTGCACTTAAATTACACTATTCTTCAAATTTACAGAATTTTCATTTTAAAATGTTAGACCTTTGAATTGTTAGACGATACCTTTTTTTACGTGAACACAATTTGAATCAACTTCCACACAAAAATTACTAAAACTAATTTGATTATTGTACTCCTTATTAATTATCAGCTGAGGTTGTGTTGGTTGACAGAAATTACTAAATATTGAAATTGATGATAAATAGCATACATTATTTTTTAAGAAGTAGGGAAACAAACAAACAAAGAAAAACCCAAAATGCAACAAAAATTTTCAGGGAATTTAATATGATACTTTGCATTTGTAAATGGAATTATTAAATATTATTCAAATTTTGGTTTGGTATGCTTCAGACACACTCAAAAAAAAAGAGCTGTTGTACAACCTTTGAGTCCTTGAACTGAAATGTAATGTCCTGTTCTGTCCAGTCCACTATTTAATCTTTTTGTGCCTTGAAGTGAAAGTCTCACATGAAAGGTAAAGGATAGAAATTGTGTAGTTTATTCCCACTGTGGCTACAAGATTGCTTGTCATTTGAAAGAAACTTTTAGTATCAAATTTCCAGTTGTGGATCTTAAATGAAGAGAAGAACAGGAGAAATTCTATTTGCAGTGTTTTCTGATCACTGCATTTTGAGGAGTTTATTTTTATGGTGAGTCTTAGTTGAAAGAGCTGCTTGCAGAAGCTTCACCTTTTTTTAGAAAAAAAAAACACAACACTTTAGGTTTTTCAGCTCTCACAGGGTTTCATCATCAAGGAGTTTCAGTTCTACTAAAGAGAAATACTGCAGTTATCCTTTCAGAGTAAACCATGTTCTAAAAACCTGGCATCACAGAGCTTCACTTATATTGTCAAGGAAGCTCTTATTAAAAACAAACAAAATGCATTTTAAAAAACTGAAAATGCAAAGAACTGAAGTCTACAACCAATAGATGACATTTTTGCTTATGCATTGTACCATTGATCCATATTTTTTAAACTATTTGGTTAGCTCAGCAAGTTTTCTATTCCATGCATCAATTTGGATTAGTGCAAAAAACGAACAAACAAAAACTTTGTATTTTTTTATAGTTTGTTTACTTAGAATTCTAGTAATAACAATGGTTAAAAATAAAAATGGGAAAAATAATATTCCCAGAAGTAGAATAACAAGTCAGTAGCGTCAGAAAGCCAGCAGTAAACAACTATCCAGACTTAGAGCAATGTCTTAAAAGTTTGGGGGTATTTTTATTTTTATGTTTTTGCTAAAGAATGCTTATAAGCTCTTAAACTGACCTCCATTTAATGAGGGCAATCAGAAAAAAAAATATCTCTTTTTTTAGACAAAATTTTACTGCAATTTAGATTGTGCAAAATTGCTTAGAAATCTGGAATTTTCTAGCATTGTTATCTTGTGTGCATTTAGCATCCTGCCCTGTGTGATACAGTAGATCTCTCTTTAGCTTGAGCAAACCTCCTGGTAGGTAGATTTAACTAAGATAATGGTCTACTTACATTTCTAGCTACTGAATCTGTTTTCCTTTTTAATAACTTTTCTCCATTGTGAACAAACAAGAATCATGTAAACTGTCTGTTACTTATTTGCAGTAGTCTGTCTCAAGCATTTTTCCTCTGTAACTTACACCATGTGAATGTTCTGTATGTAGAAAATGCTTGACAAAAGGAGAATAAAGCCCATAAATTTTAACTAGTTCTGACTTTGGTGAATGCTCCAATGTAGCCACACTGAAGGGGCGTGTAACACAGGCTTTTTTGAAAGCAAGATAAAAGGAAGTTCATCTGCCCACTATTTTTACATATATATATATAAAATAATACACATTAAGGAAAGAAAACTTTTTAGAAGAGCTTACCAGACTGGAAATGTTTCCTTTGGCTGTTAGAAAGCCCCTCTATTAATCAATTAGGCACAGAGTAATTGGAGTGTAGACAGATGTCTGTTCTCATGCCTAGCCTCTAAGGGACCTAGGGTTGTTTAGCCTGGAGAAGAGGAGACTCAGGGGAGACCTTATCACTCTCTTCAACTACCTGAAGGGAGGTTGTAGTCAGGTGGGGGCTGGACTCTTTTTCCAGGCAACTAGCAACAAGACAAGAGGGCATGGCCTCAAGCTGCTCCAGAGGATGTTTAGGTTGGATATTAGGAAGTACTTTCTCATGAAGAGGGTGATTAGACATTGGAATGGATTGCCCAGGGAAGTGGTGGAGGCACCATCCCTGGATGTGCTCAAGGAAAGGCTGGATGTGGCACTTAGTGCCATGGTCTAGCAGATGTACTGGTATTGGCCATAGGCTGGACTTGATGATCATAAAGGTCTTTTCCAGCCTTGGTAATTTGATGATTCTGTGATTCTGTATCTAAAATCATCTAGTCTAGATGCTGTACAAACATAAAGGCCAAACGAAGAAGCATGGACTTCAGTAGCACAGCTGAACAACTCCATATCTGGTGTGCTCAGTTTAGGTGGATTTTACACTTATTTTGCCCTCTCCAAAGCAGTTGTCAGTTTTGGCAGCATCTTATTCTTCTGTATTAACAATATTTGGGAACTAGAGAAGCTTTAAAAATTGAATAAACTATATTGCTCTTTATATGAAACAGGAGGCCGAAATATCTACTAATAAATTTAACAGATTTTAACATGTCAATAATATCACAGTAATTTGTATAGTATAGAAACTTTTCCAATCAGTTTAGAAGTATTGTTTGAAGCCAGTTTAGATAGTGCAGTGTAATAGCTCAAAGACCATGTCTTATTTGTTTCCTATGTTTATGGAACTGAAATAAGTTTCTAGTGCCCAGGAATTGATTAATTCTATTGAATAAATGAAAAATCAAACACTGTCTTCAGTGTTTTGGGTTTCCTTTCATAGAAACCTAGATGTAATGACAGTTGGTTTTGAATCCTGTCTGCTGTTGGAAGCAGAGATAATGGATGCCTTCTCTTAATTTGTGGTAAACACTCATATTTTATTTCACAAAGTGTTGCAAACTCTCAAAATTCAGAATTTTCTTACAGAAATACATTAGAGAAAAGTAGTGGAAGACAATGGAAATGTAATGGAAGGAGCCAAATGTACATGCCAACGAAGTCCTGTTGCAGCTGCCACTGTGTTCCTGTATGGTAACAAATTTGAGAAGCACGTATGAGGGTACAAGATGGAGTGCACTTCACCAGGAATTGTCATGGTAAAGCTGCTTTTGCTAAGATATTTTAAAAATATGTTATTCATAAGACATGGAGAAAAAGTTCTTTTGGCTATTTTAAGGGTCACCAAAAGAAAGAAAAAATGGTGCCGAAGTAAAAAAAGTTCAGTTTGGCAGTAGACATTTTTAGTAGTCCATGCCCAAAGGTATCTTTTAAACTACTATTGCATGCTGATAAAAAGCTAGTTATTTGCTGCAGTACTATATGTACATCATTCAGTTCTTATGAAAGACAAAACAGATTTCTTTCTTAAAAATTTCTCTTCTATAAAATAGCAGAGATTTTTATTAAAATATGATCTTGACATTTTTCACCTTTTCAATATGGTCTAGAGTATCATCATGTGTCTTCATTTACACACCTTCTGACTGCTTGGTTTATTGGGAGAGATTGCTAGTTAAGCTATTGCATAAATATGTAAAATAAGCTCAGAGAACCCCTTCAGTGCATTTAATTATATTTCCCATATTTCAAACATCTAGACGTATGATGTCAGAGAGTTTGTAAGTCCAAAAATAAGATGTCTTGGCAAAAATGTAAGAAATATATGTTCTATAAACATGTCTTTAGAAGCTTCAATGGAAAAATGAAACAAGTTTCAAAGAACTCAACATATTTTTATAAGTGATATCAATGACATTAAAAGTGTCATTTTGAGTTATTCTTGAGCCTCCTGCTCACATCCTATCAGTAAGGCTGTCTGTTAATTAAAAGTTAAATGACATCTGAACATTTAAGACTATCATAGCACTATTTGCATTTTAAATAGTCAGTATTCAGCACCAGTTTCAACTTCTTTTAATTGACATAATCTTCTGAGCTTGAATATAGTTTCTTTGCATTATTGAACAGCTGTTTTGTTACACCATTGTGGTGTCTCCATTTCAGTTAGAAATTAAATATTCCCAAATTCATATTACAGAATACCAGACTTGCAAATTGTGAATACTGTATTAAGAATATTATTACATTATTTTTACCTGCTTACCACAAAATACTCAGTTTGGTTTCAACTGAAAGAGCATAATCAGATAATTGGGACATTGGTTTTTACCTAGGGGAAGATCAGTAACAGGACACATCGAAGGTCGTTTTGTAAATAAATTGTTAGGTCTCAATTCTAAAAATAACCCCACAATAACCAGTCATCTGTACTAATTTTTTCTTCTTTTCATGGTATTTTGAAGTGAACACCTGTTCTGCATTTCAAGAGCTTCTAGAGTAATGAATCAATTAATTGCTACAGGAACATTCCTAGTGAATATCATAGAAATTCAAAATTGCATTAACTAGAATTTTCACTTGCTCTCCAATCATTATCTTAACCTTAGGGAAAACCAATACAGATGAGTAAGATTTGTAAAATATTTTATAGATCAACAGATTACAATTTGTCTAATTTAGCTTCATTCTGTAAATGTGTGGATTTGAACTAGGCTATGTGGTATCCTGGACAAGTGCTGTCAGCACTGGATAGGATACAAAAGGGAGGAAGCCTTTGTCCATTCTTCCCACATCTACATTTTAAGAGAAAAGAAAGGCCACATCTTCAAAGGCTCTAGATCGGTCATGTCAGCTTTCTGAATTCAAATCTAAAATGGCAGGAGACACCTTCCAGCTGTTCTCAGTAGCAAACTGAAGTCATAGTGGGGTCCTACACTTCTGTCAGTTCCATTAGCTACCTCTAAACCACATGTTCATCCTCTGCCTCTCCAAGATAGATTTCTGAGGTACTCAACATTTCCCCTTCAAATAGAGGACACCTTATCATAAGCTCAAGAAAGC